AACTGAACAAAAGGAAACAATGAAATAGACTGAAGACCTGGCTTATTTTTTGAGGTTAGTAGCAGATATGAATGACAGTGCTTGGGCTGTCAGTAGTAAGAGATTATTTCAGTTACCAAACCCTTTCTTTGTCTATTAGTAATAGCACAGTGCTCACTTGGCTGAGAGCTTCTTGACCAGAAATAAATTAAACAGTAAATGTAACTTAAAGCTTTTCACTCCCCTTCTGAACACTTTTATTAAATCTGTAATTCACACATGTAGTTATGTAATTCAAGTATTAGGAGGACAGTCCTGTTGGTTTAATTCCATTAATCCTATTGAAATTAAAAGGAGACCTGGGTGAAGAGAGTGAGTAGTTTATTACTGAGATTTATGGGCAAAAACCTGAGTTTCAAATCTCAGGTTACAAATGCACACTGGTGTACATCAAGTGAATAATTCAGTAGTGCGTGATCAGAGTTCATGGCATAAACATTTGCCAAGAAACCTGTTTACTGGCAGTTGAACATTAACAAGACTATGGTGCGGTAATTGCTTTTAAGCAGATCTCCTTGGCTGACCATGTATTTGCATTAGTAGTTATCATTTACTTTTGGCAGTACCCAAAGTGTGCAGAATGTTAACAAAACCCCAGAAGGAGCCATTGATACGTGCCTTGTAACACTTAGGAATGGAATGCAGAGGCAGATACTGAAATGAAATCATCAGCAGAATGTGGTTCCCAGGAGCGTGGGCATTGTTATCCTTTGATTTTGATTTAAGCAAATTTTATCTCTAGTTACTCATCCAGTCTATCATCATGGATGGAACTTGTACAAATATTTATAATTACATATCATACCAAATAAATGTCAGCCCAGAAACCTGCTGACATTTGCTTTGCAAAACAAAATGTAAAAAAAATGAAAATATTTAAGAACAGAGGAAGAGTCCTTATGATTTTATCACTCTCTCTGTACTGGAAAGCAGGTCACTTTTGGGGGGGAAGACTGCAGAACTAAATGAAGTCCAGCTAATACCACATAGATTTCTAAGATCTTCACGAAAAGTGGAACTCTTGCTCAGTTTTTTCTTTGCCTTTAAAGAAGATAGTATTTATTTGAAGAACAGAGCTGATGGTCACAGGCAATACACGTGTGTTACTGCAGGAGTACCTGACAGTATGCATACACTTACACAGTAGCACATTTAAATAACATTAAAGCCTTTCCTTGATTTCCCCAGTCTCACTAAGACTTAGACCTCCATTACTTAATCTCCTAGTCCCAGCCAGTTGACCATTTGAATGTCTTTTGCCACCTCACACCAGTCCTGAAGGAACTGGGAGGTAGTAGCATTAGTAGTTTCTCTTCATGGGATTGTTTTACTCAGTGTTATAATGAGTGTCTTTTAAATGAATTTAGATGTTACTTCATTAATAGAAATTGTTTACTTTACCTATCCTGCTTCCAAAACATTTATATATTAACAGACCACCGAAGTTCACCTTATTGCTTTATTTTGGGTAAACAGTGTGCTGGAGGAGAATTACGTGAGAACAATACATGCTTTGTGAAATTGAAAAATAAAGTTACTCTCCTTTTGATATCTTGCAGCCTTGGGGAGCTCCGTTTAACCCCTGCCAGTCCTTCTCTGTGGGGGCTCCACAGAAACAAACTGGGTTACAGGCAGTGCATGCAACCAGTGAACAGGGAAAATCCAAGGCAATAGGAGCAAGTGTGCACTCTCTTGTGAAGAGGTGGTTCTCACACGGCTCGCTTTGCCCCCGCAGCTGATGTTCCCACCCTTGCGGTACAAGAATTGAGGCAATGAAAGAGCAACAGAGGCGAGGACATGTGTAGTTCTTGGTGGCGTTGAAAGGAAATGAATCCCAAAGTCTAGGCTAATCACCCTAACCACATAATTATCCTTTCTCAAATGATACGGGGTTGTTTCATCAACTAAAAGGCATTCTAGCTGTACAAATTTTGCAATAAAAGATGCCACATTGTTAATGTGGATTACTAGTTATATTTTATTACAGTTGTATGAAGTGTAGGACTTCAGAGTCACAGAGCAGAGTCCTTTATAATTGGGCTGTTCTCAGATTTGGCAATTCTTTTCCATGCTATAAAAAGAGATCCATAGATCTGGGAACTACCATCTCAGTTTTATTTTTGTAGTATCTTTTGGTGCTGATCATCCCACTGAGATTTCAGTTGGAGAACCAGCCTCCTTAGTTTTTACCAGCCAGGTAA